CAATAAAGTGATTCATCGAGGAAAGGTCGAAAAGGAAAGTTGGATTATGCTAAATATTCCAAACGGGATCAAGGCATTCGGTATAAACCTTAGAATAAATATTCATACTAGGGCTGTGCCATCAATAGAAATTAACCTTTTGAGAAAATCAGGTACAGTCCGATACAGATTCCGAAGTTAAAAATCAACATTTAGCCGAAAGCAAATTCTGATACAGATGTTCTTCATGTTGTTCTTAGGTCCCCCGTCTGTATCAAGGACTAGAATTATTCGTTATTATATTAAACATTAATGAACAATGTTTAAAGTAATTCAAGCCTTCATTATACTTTCTTTGAGAGAACACAAATTCATATGACTTTTTTAAAAACATAACCTTTAATTAAACTGAACAGTCAGCTCAAACTAGCCATCAGATGAATTGGTGCCAATTCAGCTGGGGATAAAAGCTTTTAGGATTTAGTAGAAACATGGTGCAAACACGTGTTGTTGAAGCATGAGAAACAGTAGAGTAACATTAAAACTGTGAGTCACTGCTAATTTAAGATTTCTTTATGGAACACGCCTCATATCATTATCCAAGTATTGAACACCATTATCACATGTCACATATCCTTCTCATATCAGGCAGGCCTCCAGTTCACATAAGTATCATGTTATATAGAGTTACATAAACTGTTCATGACTGTTTGATCTGTTCACATTACTATGAAACTATTCCTTCATGCCATATGTCAATGATTCATGGACGTGACTCATGTGAAAAACAAACAAACTTTAGAAGGGAAGATCTGACTGTTTTCACTACTGCTGTATCCAATATTGAGCAACAACTCAAACTAGGGTTGTCAGACATGTTGTACATGTTGAAATGGAGTTTGCTTGTAAAAATATGAAAGACAATTAACACAAGAAATGACTCATTAAAAGTGAGAGATCAAAGATACTGCAAAACTGGTAGACACTAAGTTCATTTTAACAAATACTTCAGCCGTCACAGTTCTACTGAAAAACTTCCCATGGCCTGGCTGTTAACCTTTGACCTATCTCGATCGTCACTGAACCCAGAGCTGTTTGGTTTGTCCAGGCTGAACTAACAGGGTCACGTTGCTCTTTTCAAACACTACAAGAGCTCCTCTGGTCACTTTCATACCGGTTAATTTAAAAAAAACTGGGAAAAGGAAGACGTAGCCTTGGTTTTAATGAAGGAATTCTGAGAAGAGTAGCAATAAGAGGAGGTGGTTATCGGAGCGCTTCACTTGTCAGTCTGACTGCGCTGAATCAGTGAAACCTTCCTCCAGCTTTCTGTTGGGGTTTTTGCAGATGCTGCTCTTTGATGTGTAGTCAGCTTTGGTGTGAATTTCTGCTCATGCTGACCGCACAGTTCTTCTCCTGAAACAAACAAATGCTATCAAACCTTCCTCACTCACTTCAGGCTAAAACTTTAGAATACTGAAGGCTGCACCGTGACAAAAAAAATCCAATATTTGCATCACTAATAGTTTGATTGAAGCTGCACGTTTCAGTAGTTTTATACAAAAATAACATTGTGCAATGAGGAAATGATATTTGGTACTTAATCCATGAATCCATTAACGCTGCAGTTCTTTGACACTCTACGGGTCCTTTGAGCCTCTTTTAGCTCGTTGTTTTGGTCTAGGGGTCTGCAGCACTGGTTGAGACTCACCGCTGTCTCACTACATGTTCGATGTTCTATTACACATTCAATGAACCAAATGAGACAGCAGATGATAGCTTGTGAGGTCACAGCTTACAGCTATCGTAAGAGTTGTCACAGTTGTCATCCAGTTGAACCATTTAGCATTCATTAGGCCCCGTGTCCACCTAGCGTTTTTTTCTGAGCGCCAGCTTTTTTTTTTTCTTCAGTTATTTTCAATGAGTATAGAGCGTTCGCAGCAGAAAGCAGCCGCCTGGATGAAAAGTGCAGCGACCAGCGTCTTTTTCAAAACATTTTTTTTTACAAGCGCTTTACAAGTTGAAAATCTTGCAACTTTTCAGAAAGGCACTTTTGGCGTCACCGTCGCTCTTTTCCAACTGTATGATATAAAAAAGTAACGGAGCAGTGTCTGTCGTTGTCAACAGACTGTTGTCATGGAGACAAGACAGGCGAGCAGCGCTCTTCTTCTCACCGCACAACCAGCGTTTTTTTTGCATGGAAAAAAAAAACGCTATAGGTGGACACGGTGCCTTAATAAATTATTAATTTTGGTGCGCAAGCGTTGCTATGCTACGAGGAGACGACACTGGCTCCATTCTCATTAATGTTCTTCTGTTTAAATCTGTTGTTCAGTGTGTTCTTGTTTTCTCATTTCTGAAATTCAAGTTAAGGGTTAGGAACTAAAAAATCCCAAACCACATCAAGCTCAAAACAAGATTTTTCCTCTCTGCTGTGGCGAGGTTTTCACCTCACGGCAACAATTTGTGACGATCACAAATTAATCTGAAGTCCGTTAAGACGTCCCAGGTTTAAACCAAAACCTGCAGACTTCATACATCACAATGTGTTTTATACTGTTGCATTAAAACATGTGTGCATATGCTACTTATACTTCCATGAGCGCATACATTGTCAGCATGGCTGAGCAGAGCAGTCAGAGTGTGTCCGAGTATCCGATGTGAGCGCGCTCTACATGAGCAGTGAAGCTCTGAGCCGCACTGTTTCAGTCTCTGCAGCAGCACAGTCTGATACCGATCAATATCCTCACAGGGAGACGATGATAACACGCCAAGTAGGGACAAAATCAGCCAATTTATATCAGAATTCTCAAAAAATTAAAAAATTAAAAGTTTACTAGATTGGTCCAACCAATGAAAACAAAAAAAAAACAGATGTGAATAGACGTGGTAATTGTAGGGTAACTCTGTGGCCCACAATAACGATAAGAGAGAAGATTGAATTAAGTTTTTTTTGTAACTAGGCTGTAATTTTCAACTTTATACCAAAGACTTCATGAATTTGAATACTGGAGATAAAGGGTGGAAATCGCAGGATAACTCTAACACGCCATACGATAAGATACTCAATACAATATTATGACAATCATAATGATACATCATGTTATCTGATTAACTGAAGAATACTAAATTCCCCTGAAAGGATTACAAAAGTCTGAATCACTCAGTTTCATTTCCCTTCACATTAGCCTCACTCGCCATCCTGAAGAACCAGGAAGTAGAGATGTAGTGAGTCAAATGGGCAGGGAAAAAAAAAAATTAAAATATGTTTTGTTTGGCACCAGCGAGTCATCTATTACAAGATGAGATTCAGGAAAACCATGAATTGCTGTATCGAGATTTTGTCTCACCCCTAGATGTGAGATCATTTCAATACATTTGCCACCTGTCGTTCAAAGAGATGCCAAATGGAAAATCCCAGCTGTTGTTTCTGCTGCTACCGGGATTTATGCTTTCTTCAATGTGAACTACTTTATTCCACATTTTTATAAAATAGAAACCATGATTTTGGGCTGACTAGAGCACAGCGTAAATCTAATCACCTGGCATGAGAAAGCAAACCTTTTAATTCACATGATTTTAGAGGTACAGTTTTTTAGCAAGAGCATCCAACCAAAGATCATCAACAACTGTGGGGAAGCTCCTGACAGCCTCGTCAACACATCATCAGTCCGAGAGGCTTCCTGCCACATGTTCTAAGTGCACAGCACTGGGATACATATTTTGCAAAAAGTCCCCGATCCAAGACGGGTTGAGAGCCAGGACTTTCCAAACACAGATGACAGAGAAAAGCCTTTCCCAGCGAGGAGCTGCCATGTGACAAATCTGTAACACGATACGTTTGTTGTTTTGGGTTTTGGGATGTCTGACACTTGGTTGCTGGGAGGGGAAAGGGAAAAAAAAGTGTTGAGCATTCCACCCACTCCTCCTGAAAAATGTGCGGAGAAACTCCTCAGGGTCCGAGCGGAGGAACGTCAGACATGCATAACAACAACAAGGCGGCAAGCTGTAACACAGGTGGGCTCGCCGCAGCTGTCGAGTACGAGACAGATGTCTGCAATTCTTTATTTGATCCGAATAACTCTCACATGGTCCGGGAACTTTTCCCCCGAAGTTTCTCACATAAATTGAACCGTTCTTGGTGTAAAAACAATGACTCACTAGACCGACTGTTGAAGGGCGTTATAAACTACACAATGTACAAACTGACTTCAGGATCATTAACTGTAAACAAGAAGATTTAGACTCAAGGTCTAAAAAAGTGAAGGAAGCATATCGTTCATTAACCTGCATTTGTGTTGAAAAACATTTACATTTCAGTAAATTAAACATTTTCCAAATCCTTGAGCGTTTAGATCGTCATAGTAACAAGTCATCTTCACTACACCATGATGTCCGTTTTTCATTAAGATAAACCACAAATCAGGCTTTGCTTTTAAGTGTGGCAGCCTGTGATTTGCCGTCACAACCAGCGGCTCTTGTTCAGCTCCCGGTTGAAGTAAAAGAAACTGATCAATGTTCATTTCCTCGTTAAGAACGACAAAATCAGCATCTCCATCAAGTTAACCATTTCCTAAAGATGCACCTAACTATCCAAGCTAGTGCTGGTAAACTGATAGATCAGAGTTTGGAAACCTCTGTCTCCTCTCCAGGAATGCATCCTCATCTCAAATGTGTTCTCTATTGGCTTCTTAATAGGAACAAGTTGGCAACAACCAATATGCCGGATCAAGGGTTGGATATAATAGAGCGTCAACCAATAGGAGACTTTGTCCACTTGATGTAGTCTTTGGTACTGATGTGTACACTTCCTACAGATTTCTTCCTGAGGTCTAAAATGTCCACAAGAGAAAGGAAATTGTGAAGTTAAAGAACTTTCAAAACTCAACAGATTGGATCAGAAAAATCAACAAGCCGAATGCTGCTGATCCCTGATCCCCCAACTTGTACCAACGGACTGAAGGACTAACATTTCCTCTCTTGGACCATCAAATTGCACCTTGTCATATGGGAGAATTGCCTACCTGAATGCCAGTCTGGACAGCCATGACTGTGATCGCAGATGATTCACTTCTTCATTCTGTGGAGAAAAAGAGAGAGAATTTGGTTTAAAGAAATACCAAATACCATGTACTTCTATCATATTGTGTGTTTTTTTTAATTTTTTTTATTAGTTTGGGGGAAAAAAGTTAGTTCAGATGATTTTTCTGAAAAGCGCTCATCAAGATCCAGATGGTAGCGATTCTGGGCTGGTTGGGCAGCACCAAAGAAACTCTGACATGTTAACAATCATCTGGTTTGTACTCCTTCCAAGAAGTTAGAGAAAGATCTATATCCTACCAATGTCTGCATGTACAGTAGTGCTCGGAGGTGATTAGCTTAGCTTCTAACGACTAGAAGAAGGGGTTAAAGGAGGTAAAGTACGTATTGGAACTATTTCTTGGTTAAAACTGTGAAACAATTTGCAGACATAATCTTAACATCACCCTGAAACTGCCCTGGAGCCCTCTCAGATTTTTTCAGACAGGATTTTTCTCATATCTCAGTATTTAAAAAATTAGCAATTAAGAATTTTGTGGAGGTTGCCGCAGACTGATTGAGAAAAAAATACCCATTCTGCCTTTGATTATAACGGATTCAAAATGCAGAAAATGGCAGATTAAATGAATGTAAATCCAGTTAAGATTGGAGATATATGAAATGCGCTTTGACTTGATGATAGCTCTTTTAGCATAGGACAGCAGCCAAGTGATTTATTTAAATCTCAACTATTTTCACTGTCATATAATATCAGTCAGAGTCGTGATTTTGCAAAATTTAAAAGCAAAAAGGGAAAATCATAAAGACAATTATTTAAATGATTCAGCAGCAGAATTTGGAGTATAGCACAATCATTTAAAAAAGCGTAACTAAATCAAACTACGGTAACATACCGATAATGGGAAAATGAATGTAGGCCTGGGCGATATGAACATCTTCATTGTGATAACATTTTTAGTCATATCAGTCGATATCGATAATTATCACGATAAATGTCAAATCATTATTTATTTCTGATTTGAAGGCAGATTTTTGCCAGATGGTTAATTATGGTTTAACCTTCTTTTTTTGGCAGAAAATGACAAAATATAGTTCAACAGGAACATTTTCACAATCATAAGCAAAGTGCGAGACTTTACTGTTGGGGAGTAACAGTAACTCGCCCGGTGCTTACCGAGGGTCCACTAACACTCCATAAAAGATCTTTTTGGCACCAATTAATCTGCAAAACTGATTCACCGGTGCACCTGTTGTTGGTAGCCAAATCTTTTTGGTGTATGGTCCAGCCTTGGCCACCTGAGCCTTCTGACTCGTGGACAAGAGAAAGATGTGGGAAATCCCTGTGAATGACCTGAAAGCTCTCAGGCCATGCACCGATTATCCAGTCAAGTCCGTCCAGTCTTTTTAACCAATTTCAGACATGTGGCTCTTCAATCTATAGTACTTATCTGTTCTCACTATCAGAGTGATTTGCTCTGTTTAAAGTGTGTAATCAAATTTACAAGACATTTAATCAACTCATGCAGGATGTTGTAGTTACTGAGTTGGGAAAGTTTAACAGGAAGTAAGATGAACTCAGGGCGCTCAGGATGCTGTGAACGGCCCTCTGGGTAAAAAAAAAAAAAAAAAAAACCCAGTCGGGATGTTGTTGTTTTTACTCAACACAAAGTGAGTTTTAGAGGATCAGACTTTCTCACGAGGAAGTGATGCGGTTAGTCTAGAGTGCTCCTCTCTGCCCTTTCCCATACAGGATGTGAAGGATTACCCTGACGCTCAACTGTCCCCGGGGGTCTGCGCACGACAAAGAGAGGCAGTGGGTGGGTGGGTGGGTGGCCCGGGGGGGAGAAAGCAATCACAGGCACATAGATCCTAATAACACTGATCATTTGGTCAACACAGCTGAGCCAATAGTCCCACACCAGCACCAACAACCCCCACCTTCCTCCGGCAAATCTCACCTTGGCCTGAATCGAGCTTAAATTCTACAACACAATGGGTTTGTACAACTTCAAAACTCTGAGAGTTTCAACTGATTTCATCATGCAAAGAGTGATGAAATGATTGAGGAAGAAAGTACTCAAGGAATTTTAGTAAGTGGTAGCACATTTGGTTGGTTTAAAAAAAAAAAAGTTAGATTTGATCAAGTTAAAAAATGTTTCCTGCAGGGATTTTGATTGCAAGATGTTTTCTGTTTTACTTTTACCAAATACAATCATGCACCATTGTTTTTAGCGATACTACTCTGGCAACAAAACACATTTCAAATGTGAATGTGCTTCTTATTTTCAAGTGCCATGCATCCAGATATCCCAAACCCACAGATCCTAAAATCAAAATTCTCAGCTGTCCATCAAAGGCCTGCCCTGGAGTGCAGCGTCCAGTCACCCGACACCAAAACTGCAGCCCAGAGGAGAGAAGATGCAAGTCAGCGCACAAGGACGGGACGGGACGGGACAGGGTGGGTTGGGAAGGATGACAACACAAGAAAACCTACCTCAGAACAAAAACAGAAGAGTACCATGCGAGAAAAGTGCACCAAACAACTCCAATAAGCCTCAAAAGCACATCCTCGTCGATACAGAGCAACAAAAAGAAAAACACAACAGAGCGCTACGCTCAATGCTGCCCAGTCAGAGCCGTGACTCCTGCCTCTGTGTTTCCACGAGTGAGCGGGGAAGGGCAAGACAGCGAGAGCATGATAGGGAGGGAGGATGGATGAGAGGGAGGGAGGAGGTGCAGAGGGAGAGCCCTGACTAATGAAGTGGCTGCGCTTCGCTAAGCCCTGTCCGCCTGCTCCCCCCCCCCTTCGCTCTCCCACAACAATCCTGTCATGGCGGGACCCTCGCACAAAGCCTCCATTGTTTTGTTAGCTTGCCACCCTCCCCACCACACACACACACACATTTCTGAACACTTCTCCTTCTTCTCATCTCCAAGCTAGCAGCAAAAAACCATGAACTCCCCAACCAGGATGCAATGAAATGGAATGAGATGGGATAGGGAGGGGGGCACCTACTTCCTATTCATCCCCCCATAACACTCCCCCAGCCTCCCACACCAAAAGCAGAAATTTGGGGGTGTGAAGCAGGAAAACAAGACGTGCAGAGCTCATTCCTCTGGTGTTTATTGTGATGGTTGTCATTTAGGTGTAAAAAAAGAAAAGAAAAACCTCTGTGTCCATGTGGAAAGTGTTCCAACAGATCTACACTGAGGAAAACAAACTCCAAGGATAAGAACAAAAAAACATGACACCATAGTTGATGAAAACAGATGTGTTTTCTGCAGCTGTTTCAAACAGATTTGTAACAATGAAGCAATAGTCCTTAAAACTGTGGGTACAAACGGCCCACCAGTGTCTCCATGGGTTATTTCTAAATTAGATCTTTTTGTCTTCATCTTGATTTTTATTTTCCAATATCAGGCAAGTGAGTTATCCATTAAAGCTCATGTAAGGAAATGTCTGTTTGTCTTGATTTTGGCGCCCCCTGTGGACAAAGCAGCAAGTCTCGTATTTTGTCTTGTGTTTGAATGAGTTAGGTTTGTATACTGATGCAAAATCATGTCCAGCTTTCTTTTAACAGCAGATTTCCTGGTGTGCTTTTAATGGCTCCAAATATTCAACCTTATTTCTGATAGTCACATTTGCTTATGTAGGTCATAATGAGGCATCGAAATAAATTATAGTCTGATTTATTACCAACTAAAGAACTCCTCCCAGGACCTCTAAATGTGGTTTTATAAATTCAAGCTAGGGCTGGGCGATATGGCCCAAAACTCATCTCAATATTTTTTCGCTGAATGGCGATACTCGATATGTCTTTTATTAACAGTCAGTTGCACAAGTTCAACATGTACATGAAAACAAACTACTCGTTTGTGAAATTAATACATGTGTCCTTTGTTATCCATTTAGTTTGGCTCGGAGGGGGGGGGGGGGAGAGAGAGAGAGAGAGAGAGAGAGAGAGAGATGAGAAATAGGTGAACTGGCAGCTCTACAGAAGACGTGTATATAACGTTATTTTAATGCAACATGAACTATATCGATATTAACGTTATTGTTCTAACATATATCTGGATTGAAAATATATCGATATATCTTAAAAACTCAATATATCGCCCAGCCCTAATTCAAGCCATGTCAAATTCATACATTCTCTAGATCCTGACCTATCCTGTATAAAGAAACAATGGAAATACATTTTGTTGCATCCCTGAAGTTATTTGAAGTTCTTTCTGAGAAATACTCCGTTTTAAGCGCCGAGGGAAAATCGGTCTTGATAAGATTCCTCTGCAGAAAAATAAATAAGTTCCAACTTCCTGCGTTGGTATTTTGGCTTATTGTGTCATCTTTCTTGATTCTGTACGATCTTAAGGTCACATATGTTTTGATAGTTATGCTCTAACTATTATCCCCCCCCCATATTAGATCAATTTAAACTGGATTATGAAACAAAGACGTCCCCCATCCTGATGCAGCTGCCCCCCCCCCGCTGCCTGCTCATTATCACCATGGCGATACATACAAATGTTCCTAATGCAACATAATGATGTCATCAAGAAAAAGCACGGTGAGATGACAGAAGAGACTAGTCGTGGCTTAGTGCTGCAAACACAAGAAGGCTCTATGTTTTAATGTTGTTATATTGGATTGATTTAAACAGGATTATGTGATGATCTCCTGCAGCCGACTCCTCAGTCATCGTAGGGTTAATACCACATGTTGACTTGTAGCATGAACAGTACATCCCTCTCTCTCTCAGTCCTCGTATTCTCTCATTTTGGGAACATACGGTCTGAAGACATTACATCACATTTCCTTGGGCACAAAGTCCTGCACGAGAAACTAAAAAAAAATGAAAAAAAATCTGAAATTGGCCTGAAGTCTTTGACATTTAGCCAAAAGACAGCTGCACACGCTCTTTTCATTCATGCTACACTTTGACCAGCAGATCAAACCATTACCATCAAGAAAACACAAAATGCTACAAGTGATCGCTTGTCTTGTTAAAAATTGAACACATGTTTTTCAGGATCAATGGGGAACCAAATTAGGGAGAACAACTTTCTGGCTTGTGAAAAAAAAAAATACAATAAAAAAAGTATCATCGATAGAAAGACGCAAAACCAGAACGTGGCATGTCGGCAAAGCTTGAAAATATTACAAAGAGTATTTTTTTGTCTTTCAAACCCATGTCCTCGAGGCTATTGGAGGCAGGAACAGCGACAGAACAACCCATTTAGGATTTCAAAGGACTGGAAAAGTATTCAGAAAGGGCTCTGAATTCTTTTCAGCATTCAGGCATTTGTGAAGGTTCACACTCGACAACGCAGGACAAAAAAAAAAAAAAAAAAAAAAAAAAAAAAAGGGCAAATCTTTGGCTCTGGACTCCAGTTGTGTGCATCTGGGGCCCCAGCAGAGCCTGAGAGCCGCGACTCCCTGCGGGGACCAAAGGCACCCACGCACAGTCAAATGTCACAGCACAGAGGAGGACGACAGAGCCGGAGCCAAAAGAACCGGGGGAGGCGAAGACAAAAACATCTTTTATGATGGTGAACTTGGGAGCGGCACACTGGAAAGGGCAGGGCGAAAGACACGGTGACCACGCACATTCTCCAACGGTCACTGGGGGGAAAACACATGGAGCCATGTTGGCACTCTTCAGACATCTATAATGCTTTCTCCTTGATGATGTAGGCACGCAATAAGGCTTCACAGAAAGACCATTTTGAGATCTGGTTTTTGGAGTTCTTCGGGGCCAAACATGCAACTGAGCCTCTTTGTCTGTCAAACGATACTGACCTCTGCTGAGGAACAAGCTGTACTTCTTAAATAGACACTGACATGTTGGGTGTTTTTGTTAAAACTGCAGAGCATTAACAACTCTTAAAACATCCACATTAAGATAAACACGATGAAGAACTTTCACTTTTTGTTCCGGTGCAATCAGAGCCATTCCTTGTTCCCATTTCTGCAGCCACTTTAGGATTAACTGAGTAAATGAGCCACAGGAACTCGGTACACAAAAGACCCCGGTCAGGTCTGGGGTGGATAAACCTGTAATTCTTGTTATGAGGGAAAAAGAAAAGCAGGTTTAATCCACGCAGGAAGGCTGTGATTTCCTGATTGAATGAACGCACACTTTGAGCAACAACTTCCGACAAAGTTTCAAATATGACAGAAAAGATTTTCAGCATGCATGTACTGACACAACAGATTCAAGTAATGTGTGATATTGAGATGTTGGATTGTTCAATGGCTTTTCTACTGTGTTTTGTGATTTTTGTGTTGTTTTTAGATAAGGGAATTTCACTTCCTTTGTTCAGACTGAAATGTAAATCAAACTGTTCTGACTGCTTCGAAAAGTTACATTTAAGTCACTGACGTCATAATAGTACTTATTTGTTAGTGATGATAGTTGAGGCGACGATGATGTGGATTGTTATGAATCCAGTTATTTATTTATTCTGCCTTTTTAACCCTCTTCCTCTCCACTCTGATCCATCCGGCCCTCCAAAGCCGTCACCAGACAACCAGAGGAGAGCTGTTTAAAGGCCCCGACACACCAAGCAGACGGTAAAGAACTAGTGGCAACTAAGGCTGTCGGTGGATTCATCTCACGTCGCCTCTTGACACCTTTGTCTTGGCCAAGAAGTTGCATTTGAACACACTGCAAAGACTACAGCCGACGGCCAACCACCACGTATGTCCTGTATGTGTGAGGGGCGGCGGTAGAAGACCATTTTCACACCGCTGTCGGTCACCAGGGCTACTGATCAAGAATAATGTCTGACAAAAAGTTTAAAATGGCACTGGCGTTGTAAGCTCTTGGTCTTTTAGTGGAAAAAGAAAAGAGGAGACAAATAAGGAAAAACCGCACTAATGGATGAAAGCGTGGATTACAGCGGCATGCTGAAGGGGCTTTACAGAACCTGTGACGAGAGCTGGAGAGAAATGAAACCTCCCAACAGCCAATCAGAGAGATTCCTTTCACCGACCACTGATTCAACATGTCCAATCGGCCCAAAAAAAAAAAGGCAGATGGGGGCCAACGGAGCCGGACACGCCGCAAAAACTAGGTGGACGACCGCTCACTGACAGTCCAACTAGGACCGACGGCCGACCATCTCCTTGATGAGTCAGCGCCTTTACATTAAAGATCACACCACTATTGGCATGAATCAAGAAGAGTCAATAAAATCCGCACTAAAGACTCACTGAGTGTTGCCTGACAGACATCAGGGAGGAGATCTCAGAAAACACTCTTTACACATGGTCAGGACACCAGAGGTCATCTTAACACAACCTGACAGCTGCTCAGTAGTTTTGAATGCACCCGAAAAAACAACAAAAAAACCTTTTTCTAACTAAATACGTCGCCTGATTTAAAAAGGAGGGATCGGATAAACAAACTGCCAGAATCCAATTATCTAACTTTCCTCATTCAGACTCTTATTTTCTCCTCTTAGTGCTCCACAATAATCCACTTCCTGACCGGAGAAAGGTGCTGAATAAATTAGAGGAATTGCTTTTGTCCTGGTACCAACGAGTATTATAATAGACTTGGAGTCGATTAAAGGAGAGGGATCTAGTTAGAGCTTTCCAGTTGCCTCATCTAAACATAGAAACCGTGTGTGTGTGTGTGTGTGTGTGTGTGTGTGTGTGTGTGTTGCTGAGGGTGGG